GCTTCGGCAACGATCCGCGAGAGTACTCGATCGAACATTCGCGGCGACTCGAAACGGAACTTCCCGAACCACTCAACCAGATCATCTCGCCGAGCAATGAAAAGCGAAACACAATTCTAATAACTTTACGTCGTAATTTGATAAGTTTTGAATCTAATGTTTCTCGATAAAATCTCCGACTATTTCTGCGAAAGTGAAAACGATAACAATAAGATCACACGATTACTTCCAACTTAAAAATTTATCATTTCTGAAAGTTGAACAAAATTTCTGAAGTTTGAGAAAGCAGACGATTACATTAGACTAAACTGAAATATATTAAGGTAAGATTAAAAGATAAACTATACTGTGAATTTAACTAAAATCAGATCTAAAACATACTTATCAAGATTCTGCAATCGACCTCGCTGAATCAAAGAAATTCGCGAAACTATTCATTTAAGTGTCGTAATATGGCAAATGATAATGTAAGCAGTATTAACAGTATTATTCTTATGAAGATTAAATAAGTACGATGTAATTTATGACCGAATATATCTCTACCTCTCTTAATGTGCGAATCATATATGTTTTTATTCCATGCATCTTATTCTTACATTTCATTGTGTACTTGGACCGAACGCGGAGGCAGGCAGCTCGCAACGGAGAGGGAACTCGATTTTCTCGAGGGTCCATTCGACCTGAGCTATTTTCGGAAAGTCGATAACGCGCTGATACTCCGATGGGATAGAGAGAGGGAAGTAGAGGGGAAGAGAGAGAGAGAGAGAGAGAGAGGGGAAGAAAGAGAGGAAGAGAGAGGGAGAAGGAGAGTCGTGGAACTTTGCCGGTTTCAAACACCGCGGTCTCAAAGTCACGCGTCTAATTCGATAACGTAATTTTGGAGAACACTAGAAGGGCTGCCGACTAGATACACAGAAGGACCGTCAGGGGGCGAGAGAAAACAGAGACGACAATTTGCGACGAGGCGGGAGAGGGTGACGGTGTGGTGGCAAACGTTTGAAGGCAAGAGCAAGGACCCGTAAGATTATCTGTGAACCGCAACGCGTTGTTGCAACGACCGCGATAAGCCGGTCAAAGCATAAATCGGATGGCCGATAACTCGCCTGTCTACCCTTCGACCGGCATAATGAGCTTGAAATTTTCATAAGTCGCGTCCCTCCAGGCAAAGCCTTGAGTCGTTGTGTTTCGTGCCTACGCAAAGCAGACGAGTCTTTCGTAGGATAAGGCAGATAGAGACTGCAATGAATACAGCGGACAGCTAAAATTTCTCGTCGAGGTAAAGAGGATAAAATTAATCGTGTTTTTCCTTCGGATATTTTATCCTGAAGAAATTAAAAAATTTAAAGTTTACGCAGTTCAAACTTTGCTTTGGGAAATCTCCAACCCTTTATTGAACTAGAGCGATTATTATTCCCCATTTATTCTTAACATCTATATATTTCTTTCTTTTTGTAATTCGCAACAATATAGAATCTTCTTTACTGAAGAAGACAGATATAAAAATAGAATAATGTATGCTCGAAAATCAATTTTAATTGAACGTAATTGGATGAAACTGTCAAATCATGACTATAAAGTATGACGAAGAGCACTCTGAACGTCTATCATACAAGATATCCTGGAGTTATACTAATTCACTTTTCAGGAATTTTTCGTATTAATTTTGCATATAAAAGAATGTTCACAGTTCCGTATGTTGGCAGTAAGAAGTTAGAGCAGCTCTAACTTTTCCGATTCGGAACTTGCGGATGCTTGTTCCACCCTCTCGACGAAACTAGGCGGAAAATTCGTGTTGAAGCGAACGTAAACGTTCGGGGGCGAAGGGCAAGGGGGCGAAGATGCGTTAGTATACCGCGAGACAAAGGCGAGAGATAAGATCGGAGCGAGCGCGCGCGCGTTTCAAGGAAATGTCATTTACGTGTCTCGTAGCGAGATAGCGATCCAATTTGAACGGTATCGAGGGATGACGGTGGAAGGGGAAAGGGATGTAAATTGATAGAGGGCCGAGGGCGCAGGGTTATCTGAGAAATAGTGAATTTTAACTACGTTAGATACACTACGAGATACAGTAGCCGCGATAAGCTGGTCAATTAACAGCACGATTTTGACGCCTGTTAATTATGAAAATTCGCGATCCACCTAATAGCAAGAAGAAGACAAAATTTTAATATATAACTTTTAAACTCTCTAATCTAATCTAAGTAATATAATGATCTATGAGAGATTTTAAAGATATACTTTGAAACTTTCATTCTGAAAATTGTTTCATGATGATTCTGTTTCGGAACGAATCAATCTCGAGATCAAAGATCCCGTTTTTCATCTACCATCTGCAATTCTCCGAAAATTCGTGAGGACGATGAGGAAAATAACGCAGCGCGAACGCGACGCTGAAGAATGTTTCGCAAATTTGCATTCGCGTAACAAAGCGAGTTACCGCGATAATTCGACTGAAAGCGGTGTCCGCGACGATGTTAATTACGTTCGCATCCCACGGCTAAAAACTGGCGGTAATGATTCAATTTAGCAGCCGCTCCGACAGTGAATAATGCAATTGAATTGTAAAGGAGTGGGCCGCTGATGTGTATAACGCGCGCTTCAACCACGGCGATATTTTAGACCTTACACCGGGATTTCTGTTTTACCATAATGGATACGGAGAGCTGAAAATTCGTACTCGGCTCGACTCGCGTAGAAATAGAAATCCGTACAATGGGATCGCAAAATAGAAATTTGCACGGCGAAAGTACAAATGCACTTTAAAGACTCAAAGTCTCGACTCAAAGTCTCGACTCAAAGTTCAATGTTGCGAAGCGCACTGAGAGAAAAAAAATAGTTGGAATAACTATAATCTCACTATATTTTATAGTTCGTTTTGGCTTCAAATATATATTTATAGTTCATCTAAACATGAGGATATAGTAGAATGAACACATATTTATAGTCACCATCTTATTACTCTATATATATGGTAAAGCACCTTTTGGGAATATAGTTACATGTACCTATATTTAACAAATATTCCAATTGTATTAACTATATAAAATAGTTAATTTCTCTTACCATTCAATATTTGCTACCTTACTATATTTTTTATTTCAAATAATTATAATTCTTGGTAAAAATTTTACACGAATCAGTTATACTATGCTTATATTGTAAATATTACAAATATTATGGTAACATTTACTTTAAAAATTATATTCCTAACTATAATCTTTTTACTATGCCATTATAGTTCCAAATATCATACATTTTTCTCTCAGTGCGGGAAGCCCCGCATGTGAGTACATGATTTCAACGATATTTCGTATTCGCTGGAAAATTATCGATTTAAAAAATAAATATTAGTTTTGTCAGTTTTGCAAAAAGCGTAAAGACGATAAACATGATCCAAACCAATATGTAACCAGATGTACATTAACTGAAAAAAATAAGACTCCACCGCGAGATTTTTACGGAACGGATTACGTAACATACGAGGGTGGTCTGAAAAGTTTCCGACCTCAACGTGAAGATAGCAGCACTTGTAAATAAAAGCTAGTGAATTTCGTTGTTCATCTGTTGACAGTTACTCACCGAAGTTTCAGCCATTTTGGACTCGCAGTTGTTATGTAACAGTCGTTTGAGTAAGTTGATGTGAGTGTTTTTGTGAAAATGGACAAAATCGAGTATCGAGCTGTCATTAAATATTTGTTTTTGAAAGGCAATACGCCTACGCAAATCAAAGATGAGTTGGATTCTGTGTATGGGGACTCTGCACCATCATTTACGACAGTGAAATTTTGGGCCGCTGAATT